AAAAAAAAACAATGCCCAGCTGAGTTTCTCAACTCCTGTAGTCATCAGAGCTTCTGAGATACCTAATACATACTGTGACTCTAAGAAGATACAGGGTGCTATATTTCCCAACATATTTGGCCAGTAACCTTTCTTTTTTCTTTAAAAAGTATCTTTGTGGGAGAAATACTGAAACAGAGAAGCCTTTTCCCAATGTGTCACAGACTTGTACCTGATATGAAACCATGTTCAAATTTTAATCAGCAACTTTGGCTTGATTAGAGAACATACCATGAACATTTAATTGGCAGAACACGAAACTACAGGGTAATATGATGGATGAGAGAATTACCATTATAAATGCATTTATTATTCTGCTTCAATTGCCCAAAGTTAACAGGACAAATATAAAAGGATAAACATTTAGTGTATTTTAGTCAAACAAGGAAAACAAAAATCAACCATGTAACTACGGGATGAGGAAGAAGAGACGTAAGTGTCCATAACAGGCCTATGAGCAGCTTTGTGTCTTGAGTTTGTACGTCATGGTCAGTGAAGGGGATCTAACACGAAAGGTTAGGTCATTTCTGTGGACTTTGTTTAGTTTATGGCTACATCTTTAAAGGTCCACAATGAATCCTTTCCAAAGGAGAAGGAACAATATAGGCGGCATTTTGGAAAACATGTCATATCTAGAAATGTGGAAAACACTAGAAAGAGAAAGGAGCCAGATGACCCTTTTTCCAGCCCAAGTTAGATGAGAGGCTAGCACTTACGTTACCATTGCCCACAAATGGCGTCTGCACCAGAGAAGCAGATGGAACCTACTTTGAGAGATTAGAGAGATGACCAGGTCAGTCGGGATGGCAGGGGTGGCAGAGAATGGGGCTGGAGCCACACCTCTGGCGGCGCAGAGTCTAGGGCACCCAGTTACCGAGAACCACTGCTCTGCTTTCTCATTAAGAGCAGCATGATTGGTGCAGTGATTGGGCGTGGGGGATCAAAAATAAGAGAGATCCAGGATTCTACCAGTACAAAAATACAGATCGTAAGAGGTGGTCCTGAAGCTGAGGTAAAAATTTTTGGCAGGAAAGACATGAAGGCCAAGGCCAAAGTGGCTATAGAAACTCTTGTTAAGAAACAAGAAAGAAGCTACAGTTCAGAATGCAGTGTTGATAGTGCTGCCTCTCAACCTTTTGCCGGGAGAGGCTGGAGCAGAAGTAACACCACCAGAGCCACTCAGCCCAGAGATGACACCACCAAAGCAGCCCAGCCCAGAGGCTATGCGGCCACAGTGGCCCAGCCCAGAGATGACAATGTCGCCAGAAGGGCCCAGCCAGGAGACCACGTGGCCAGAGAGGCCCAGGCCGAAGACGACGACACCACCAGAGGGGCCCAGCCCAGAGAAACTGCCTCCAGAGCTTCCCAGCCCAGAGACGAGGATGCCGCCAGAGACCACGCAGCCAGAGAGGCCCAGGCCAAAGATGACACCACCAGAGAGGCCCAGCCTAGAGATGATGATGCCACCAGAGGGACCGAGCCCAGAGACCACGGGGCCAGAGAGGCTCAGGCCAAAGACAACACCAGAGTGGCTCAGCCTAGAGACTATGTGGCCACAGTGGCCCAGCCTAGAGACTATGCAGCCATAGTGGCCCAGCCCAGAGATTTTCCAGCCATAGTGGCCCAGCCCAGAGATTTTGTAGCCATAGTGGCCCAGCCCAGAGGTCACAAGCCCAGAGCCACCCAGCCAAGAGATGGCACTGCTAGAGCAGCTCAGCCACAGATAGATTGGGATCGAGTAAAAGCTGGAGTAGCTGAATGGAAGAAAAGAAAATGGGCAGATTTACCACCAATTAAGAAAAACTTATACATAGAATCCAAAGCAACACACTCATTATCTCAAGCCCAAGTGGACATTTGGAGAAAGGAAAATTTCAACATAAGGTGCGAAGACTTGACAGAAGGTGACAAACGTCCCATACCCAAGCCGACATGTACATTCGAAGATGCTTTTCAACAATATCCTGAGATTATGCAAAGCATTAGGAGAGCTGGTTTTCAAAAGCCAACACCAATTCAGTCTCAGGCATGGCCAATTATTCTACAAGGAATAGATCTTATAGGGATTGCGCAAACTGGAACAGGCAAAACACTATCCTATTTAATGCCTGGCTTTATCCACCTTCATTCTCAACCAGTGTCTAGAAAACAACGGAATGGACCTGGCATGCTAGTCCTTACACCCACCAGAGAATTAGCTTTGCAAGTAGAAACTGAATGCTCTAAATACTTATATAAAGGTCTTAAAAGTGTTTGTATATATGGTGGTACAAACAGAAAAGGACAAATACAAGATGTTACCAAAGGTGTAGACATCATTATTGCGACTCCTGGAAGACTGAATGATCTACAAATGAATAATTTTGTCAACCTAAGAAGCATAACCTACTTGGTCTTGGATGAGGCAGATAAAATGCTGGATCTGGGGTTTGAACACCAAATAATGAAGATCTTATCAGATGTGCGTCCAGATAGACAGACTGTTATGACAACTGCATCTTGGCCAGAGTCCACCCGTAGACTGGCCCAGTCTTATTTGAAACAGCCTATGATTGTTTATGTTGGTACTCTGGATCTAGTTGCTGTAAATACTGTGAAGCAAAACATAATTGTCACCACTGAAGAAGAAAAACGATCTCTGATCCAAGAATTCCTACAGAGCCTGTCACCCAAAGACAAAGTCATCGTGTTTGTCGGCAGAAAACTTGTGGCTGATGACTTAGCAAGTGATTTAGGTATTCAAGGAATACCTGTCCAGTCCCTGCACGGTGACAGGGAACAGTGTGATCGAGACCAAGCATTAGAGGACTTCAGAAGTGGAAGAGTGAAAATACTGATTGCTACCGATTTAGCCTCCAGAGGTCTTGATGTAAGTGATGTCACACATGTATTTAATTACAATTTTCCACGCAATATTGAAGAATATGTACACAGAGTTGGACGTACAGGAAGAGCAGGGAAAACAGGTGAATCAATCACCCTTGTGACCCAAGATGATTGGAAAATTGCTGATAAGTTGATTAAAATTCTCGAAAGAGCCAACCAGACTGTGCCACCCAAACTCCGATCAATGGCTGATCGGTTTAAGAAGCGTAAGCAAAAGTAGGAGATAGGAAAAAGATCAAAGAAATCTCAAGAAAAATGCACTGAGCTTTATTAACATCCACACCTTGAAAAATTTCACCTACAAGAATATCTAAGAATGAGTTTTCTTAACATCTGCTCCTTGAAAAATTTCTCCTACTAGAATATCTAAGACTGAGTTTTATTAACATCCGCATCTTGAAAAACTGTACCTACAAGAATATCCGACTGAGTTTAATTTATGTTTCCACCTTGACAAGTCGAACCTAAGAGAAGATCCAAGATTGAATTGTATTGATGTCTCCCACACTGAAAAGTTGCACCTACAAGAAGATCCAAGGCCACGTTTTATCGATGTCTACAACTTGAAAAATTGTATCTACCAGCAGATCCAAGATATGTTCAAGTTATGCAGTACTCAAGTTACCTAAGGAAGTATTGGGAACATACTGTCACTTATTGGACATTTAGCTAATTCTGAACCATACCACTAAGCTTTCCATGTATGTTCCTTAATAGAATCAAAAGTGCTTTGAAAATGAGAGAGTGTTGTGTGTTTGTTAAAGCCTGCTTTCTTTTATAGCCTGCCATGTCCAGCTGTATCTTCTCTAAAAGACTTGGTAGACAATAACAGTGGTGCTTTTCTTGCTTTAAAATAGTTGTACTGAATTGGAAACTAGTTTTCATCAAGCTTAACCCAGTCAAAATATTTTATTTGCCCCCAGTGGTTGGTGACAGAATTCCTAAAACTATCTCCACTATCATTCCCTACTTTTAAAAGGTTATCAGTGAGAGTGTGCATTTTAGTTCTGTAGTGCATAATATATTTGGCAATAAAGCTGTAGATTTAAATAAAATTTATTTTGAAAGTACATTACACTCTAAAATTTAATCTACTTTAAAATTGTTATAAACTCTTTGAAATGTCTCTCTGATGATGCTATATAAATTGTCAAAACTGAAAAAAAAGTGAAAAAAAATTCATTAGAAAACAAATGCTCAATCTTTTAGAAGATTCCATAATATTTTTTTCAGACAGATGTGACTCATAGAGTAGAGTGTCTGACTGAGTCACTGGGAACCAGATCTTCAATATCAACTCTCACTAACCACTCATTAAAAATTCTGGGGAGATCACTTGTCTTCTGTAGGCCTCACTTTCTTCATTAATAAACAGGAATGTTCATGTTATGTGATTTGGGGGTCTCCTTCACCACTAAATTCTTTGTTATTATAGCTAAATTGTGTACCCCAGCATTACAATAACACTTCATTTTCTAATCTAGAGGAAAAACCACACCCTTGTGTAACAAACTGAACAATGAAACCCATTCTAATGACTAGAAATAGTGCATTCTGCACTTCTATTGATCTTTGAAATATGATTCACAGATTGTCTTTTCATCTTATTTTACTTTTCATCTTATTTTTCAATTTGTCTTGAAAAGGTCAAAATCACATATATACATCAGAAGGAAAATTAATGTGAAAGAAAATCCGTACTTGGAAAAAAATTAAGAAAACCAAATGACGTTCTCGGCATGGGGACCAAGTTTAGTAAAATTCCTAAATTTATAATTCTCTTACATTCCACTTAGAAGCAATATGCACCTTGTCCAGCTTCCCAGGTGGCACTAGTGGTAAAGAACCTGCTAATGCCAGAGAGGCAAAAGACGCGGGTTCAACCCCTGGGTCTAGAAGATCCCCTGGAGGAGGGCATGGCAACTCACTCCAGCATTGTTGCCTGGAGAATCCCAAGGATACAGGAGCCTGGTGGGCCACAGCTCATAGGATTGCAGTGAGTTGGACACAACTGAAGCAATGCAGCACACACACACACGCATGCATCTTCTCACATTGCAAGAAGATATCCTTACAAATGGTGCTAAATTTCATAATCCAGTGTTTAAGAGAACATTATCATTAATAAAGCCTTACCATTTCTGGGAAATGAAAAATAATAATCCAGCAATCTTTTCCCCAGCATGCCTCAGCTGTAACCACAACAAAAATTCAGAAATTAAGTGAAATAAAGAGGCAAACATTCTAGGTATAGTTGTTTAAATTTCAGGTTCTGACTTTAAAGACGTGCTATAAAAGTATTGATATCTCCTGATAAAATTAACAACAATAGTGAACAGTTATTGAGTGTTTGGTATATACCAGGTCCTTTGTTTTGTAACCAATAATCTCTTTATTGAAAATTCACTTAGAGAGTAATCTTAACCCATGTTTTGCAGAAGCTAAAATAATGTCAGAGGAAGTAACTTGCATAAGGTTACTAAATCTGATTAAAGAAGAATTGTGTGCTATTTTTACCCAGCTATGCCTGACTCCAATATTTACATTCTTTTCACATCAATACAAGTTACTATGTACAAGGCAATATGCTTATCTTGAGACTGCCCACATGTTCAGATTTAGTGAAATAGCATGTCAATATACCCCAATGCAAAAGCAGTCTACAGGAGAACCTGCGAGAGAAACTCAAATGGCCTGTTCCTATTCATTCGGATGAGAAATGATGAGTGGTTAGAAAGCTGGAGTGTATGTTATTTGCCAGAATTCCTCTTAGGGACAATGCTGTATTTGTTAGAGAAAAGGGTAACAAGCCTCTCAAGATAGAAAGCGAGGTTCCTCAATTACGTTCAAGTAACAACAAAAAATACCACCCAGTGAGTAAAACGAAGAAACATGCATTTGTTTTTCAAGACAGGGCTGAAAAGAAGAACTACTGTATGGGGAAATGTATGTAGAAATATTAATAGAACAGTGGTTTTCAACCAGGGGCATTTTTGCCCCTTCTCTCCAGGACACATTGAACCATATGTGAAGACAGACAGAACTGGTTGTTTTAATGTTGGGGGTTTGGGGTGGTGGTGGCATTCTGCTCCTGGCACCTAGTGGGGAGAAGTCAAGGATGCTGCTCAACACCCTACAATCTACAGCAATGGTTTCAACCTGTTGGGTACCAGGGACCAATAAGACAACTTTTCCATGGATGGGCAAGTGGGGGGGGGGGGGGGATGATTTGGGGATGATTCAAGCACATTACATTTATTGTGCCCTTTATTTCTATTATTATTGCATCAGCCCCATCTAATATCATAAGGCATTAGATCCTGGAGGTTGGGGACCCCTGATTTACCAGACAGTGCCCACAAAACAGAGGATTACTTGGTCCAAAACATCCATAGTGCTGAGATGGACAAACCCTGAGACAGCATAAGCAAAACAAAACCAACCTCATAGTAACCAAGAAAGAACCTCAGGGGAAGAAATAGAGGATTTTAAAATTATATCATGTAGGTCATATAGAATATGACCCTACAACTTTCCTATCCTTGGTATAGTCTGCATCAGTGGCTCTCCACCAAGGCCAACTTTGCCAGATGTGGTGATCACAACTCAAGGGGAGGGCTATTGTCATCTCTTGGGTAGAGGCCACTGGTGCTGCTAAACATTTCAATGTGCAGGATAATCCTCTAAACAGAGAATTATGTGGTGAAAATGTCAGTAATGTCATAGTTAAAACTTGCAATAGCTTAAGTCAAGCATCTTCTGTGCTAAAGTCAATTGCAGAAAAACCAAGAAGGGACTTCAGCCAGGGAAACAAAAAAAAAGGATATATACTTTGTGTAAACTGTTCAATGGCTTCTCAGGTGACACAGCTTGGTAAAGAATCCACCTGCCAGTGCAGGAGACACGGGAAGACATGACCTGTGGGTAGGGAATATTCCCTGGAAGAGGAAATGGCAACCCACTCCAGTATGTTTGTCTGGGAAATCCCATGGACAGAGGAACCTGGCAGGCTATATAGCCTTGTGGGGTTTCAAAAAGTCTGACATGACTGAGTGACTGAGCACACATGCACATACACCGTTCAATAAAAGATTCTCCATCAGCTTTCATTATCTTTGGTAGAACCTGTATCAATGACTATCAATCAGAGTTGATTTTGACTCCTGGGGGATACTTGGCAATGTCTGGAAACATTTTTTGTTGTCCCACGTAGGCAGCAAGATTGCTACTGTCATCTAGAAATCAGGAAAAACATCCTTCAATGAACAGGACAACACCCTAAAACACTGGATTTGTTTTTTTAGACCCAAAGTCTATAGCATTAAGGTCAAGAAACTGTGGTTTATATTGACCAACAAAGTTTTGTGAGTGAGTGACTCAAATAAATATTGAGTTTTGTGTCCAAATTAGAACAGAGTGAAACAAATTAGAATATGCGCTGACACCAGAGACAAACTGTCTGAGGATTCAGCTGATCTCAGAGACATTCCTGCAAAATTCTTAGCATGATGATTTACATTCAGTAGGTACTTAACAAATGTTAGATCCCTTCCACCCTGTCTCTCCTATCACCTATTATGTAATGCTTGTTTACAATTCTGGATGCCATTGCTCACACTGTTTCCCCCATCTGGAATGCCCCCTCTCTGTCTTCTCTGCCAGGTCAAATCAGATTCATCATGCTGGGTCCAGCCCAAGTGCTACATCTCCCCCAAGATCCTATCTGCTCTCTTTCACCTCAAAACTTCTGGAGCTTTTGCTATCTACCAACCATACTGACATCAGTACCATACTACTTTACATACCCACAGAGACAATTTTGAAAAATTCCAATTAAGTAAGATGAATTGCACTATCAAATATTTAAGTGAAAGTGAAAGTCGCTCAGTCATGTCAGACTCTTTGGAACCCCATGGACTATACAGTCCACGGTTTTCTCCAGGCCAGAACACTGGAGTGGGTAGCCTTTCCCTTCTCCAAGGATCTTCCCAATCCAGGCATTGAACCCAGGTCTCCCTCACTGCAGGTGAATTCTTTACCAGCTGAGCCACAAGGGAAGCCCTGTCAATAGTTAAATAAACCACAAAAATCTAACAGCTTAAAAAATTTTATCCTAAGTAATTGATAAATCATGAGAGAACCATCCAGAGCTAAATCTTCATAAAAAGCAAATATTTTTTTTCCATTTATTTTTATTAGTTGGAGGTTAATTACTTTACAATATTGTAGTGGTTTTTGTTATACGTTGACATGAATCAGCCATGGATTTACATGTATTCCCCATCC